ATAATAATAATAATAATAATAATAATAATAATAATAATTGGTGGTTGGTGTGACGAAGCTGAATTTGAGCATCTTTGGAAATCAAGTTAAATTCAACAACAAAATAAAAATAAACAAAATCTGTCTTGCAAAACCAGCATTGTACCCAAAGAAATCCTTCTAATTTGCGAGTTGATGATCATCACAATCATTTCCTCCCCCAATGTTTCCTCTGGATTTTTAAATCCCCCCAAAAAACAATAATTAATTGAAAAAAAAAAATTACAGGCCGGCTCTGCAACCCACCATCGTGACACACACACACACACACACACACACACCCACACACACGCACAAAATTTAAAAAATCAACAAAGCCTATTTGACACATCAACGTCCCAGTATTTACGCAGCCTCACACGCATGATTTACGCGGCAGCAGCAGCAGCAGCAGCAGCAGCAGCCTTGTCCCTGTGCAACATTTTTCTTCAATCAATTCCTGAGGAGGAAAAAAAAAAAAAAAACGCAATTTCTAATAAAACTCTAATACTCTCTTAGGGGACATTGCATCGAACAGTTGAATCCCCCCGAGGATCAGCAAAAGAAAAAAAGCAAAACAAAACATAATTATGCTATTTAGCCGGCTGATGTGTCGCAGTCACTGCTCCAGCACACTCTGTCAGATTAAAATAGAGGGCCCGAATAGAGGACATTAAGGCTAAGGGAATTATAGAAACCTCAGGGGAGATTTCAAACTGGAGAAGGGGGAAAGTAAACTATAGAGATTAATGGCAGCCATAAACAAGAGCATGCTGTCCCACCTCGGTGGAGGTCAACAATAACCACATTAATAATAATAATAATCATCATAATAATAATAATAATTAGAATAATTCAGTGTCCTTTAAAATGTGGAACAACCACTGAAAAAGAAAACAATATATATGTCTAGTTTTATTTTAAATAGCTGAGGCCTTTGTGGCCTTCCAATATCTAGACCCCATAATAATAATGATAATAGTGATAATAATAATAATTCCTGTTTTTGTAGCTCCAGCTTTAATAAGCCTCAAGAATAAAGAAAAAACAATAAGAAGTTATTTTTTTCCTCCCTTTTTGTTCTGCATGTCGGTCAGGTATGTCTATTTTTTTATCCACTTGTCAAAGTTGCTATAATCCTCATAATAACTGTGATCATTGTGTGTGCCCCATTGGCTCCACTTCTTTCTTTTTTTTTTTTTTTTCACCAGGCCATTTGATCGGGGATGGGTTTCCGTGACGGATTAACAGAGTCCCCCCCTCCTTGAAATTAGGAGCAAGTGTGACACCTACCTGCAGAAGTTGGAAGAGTTTAGAGGACAGAGCCTGGCTACCGGCTACACAGCCTCTCACACTATAGCTCCCCTGTGCGCGCGGCAGCATCCTCCTCTTTGCTCCAAAACACCCAGTGTTTCACATCTAACGCGCCATTAAAGAGACTCTCCATTAATGATATATAATAGGGCAGTATGTTCTAAATGCATGGTCGCGTCCCTTTTAACAGCTTTGCCACGCCTTTTGGAAAATAGTAATGAGGTCTAAATTTGGCATAAAATCGAGCTCATTACCGGAGTTCACCACCTGATTGCTCTGCATAAAACATGATAGGTAATTGGGTTAAATGACTGTGCCTTGGTGTTGTTATTATATCAATATCCACTTTTAGAAACGTGCTCAAGTAGGAGGAGGGGGGAAAAAAAGATACAGGAGGGCCTTGAGTGCATTTAAAAATAGTGGTAAAGCCATGCACCAGGATAGAACTCCAGCATTTTGTTTTTTTTTTCATTCATAAAAAACTATAAATTTCTGCACCAACAAAAACCAAACTGAACCCATTTATTGTCGAGATATTCCAACATCCTCCCTGAATGCAGGGCCTTCACTTTCAAGTTTGGTCAGAGCTCTGCACTGCCAGAATATTTAGAAATAATTACCGTTGAGACATCTGTCACGGTGCAAGGAGAAAAAAAAAAAAAAAGAATTAATATTTCTTAGATTAACTGGCCTCCAAGCACTTTCGACACATATCAGGCAACTGCTTCCCCCCAAAAATAATCGCTGCACAAGTATGATTTTTTTTTTCTCCATAATTTACTTCAAAGATAGTGTGTTGTCCATTTTAAATACAAAAATGCTACATTAAATATACATGTTAGTCTTTAATACAAATAGACTCAGGCGGCTGCAGCGATTAAGACCATTCTTGTTACATTTTTTTTCTTTTTCTTTTTTTTTTTTTTTAAGGATTAACCATTCAGAAACTAAAAATTTGAGGATAAGCATTTACTCAGAAAATAACTGTTCTCAGAATTTGCTTCATCATTGTTCTCTCTTCTCTCTCTTTTTCTTAATGCAACCACAAAAAAATAAATAAAAGTCCGCGGTGAGTGGAAAATATTCAGGTATTAAATGTTTGACATACCTTTCTTTAGTTCATAAGGGGAGTCTTTACAAAGATCTACCTGCGTTTGGCCTCTGACTTTCTGGCTCTCTCTTACCAAAGCCTCTGCTCTATTTAACACAGTCTGGTTTAATCCATTGAAATGTGCCGTGGAGCCCGTGGTTACCGAGCCGTGGTTACTGTGAAGGTGTCCAAAACTGCCACCATAGTTCGTGTAGCCGGGGTAGAAAGGGGAGGTGTAGTACAGAGGCCTGGAAAGGACCGTGCTGTTGGGGAGCGGACACTGAGGGGAGGACCGTGATGGAGACGCGTTGGTGCCCATTACAGCGCTCTGACCCAAACCGGGGCAAGCCTGTGGCGCGTCGCTGCTGCCCTTACACCTGTCTGAGGACGTGGCGATCTCCGCAAGGGACCAGAGTTTGGGTTTAGGGGCCGAAGGGGGCGAGTGGATAACAGAGGTCACGTTGCTGGTCACCGTACCCGGTGCATGGCTCAAATCTGACGGCTTGTCTTGTTGCGCAACGCTCTGGTTCCCCCGGGGCACCGCCGAGGGAGACGAAGTGGTGGGTTTCGCGGAATCCGGCAGCAACTCTGTAGTCCGCTCCTCCTGGTCTTTTAACTCCGAGTCGCTCAGAAGGGGATCCGTGTCTTTGCCATGGTTCTCTTCTTTAAATCTGTCACAGCCTATGTCCCCTGGGTTCAGCAGTTTGTGATCTGAAGCACAAATAAAACAAGAGAATTACTGCCAAATAAGCGGAACAATAAAAATCCGGATAGAAAAAAAAAAAACTGTAGCTTTGGCTTTTCAGGTGATCAAGAGGCAAGCGGACACAAACATGCACGCTGAAATTGGATGTATAAAAATAATTTGGCTACTTATGCACGTTTCCCCTCACAAACAATTATGTGTGCTATAAAATCTGCTCATAAACATGTGTGCCAGCCTGAAAGGTGAACGAGCTGCTCTGCACCAATATGAAGGAATAAAAAAAAAAAGCACACACTCTGCCGATTATTTAGATTTATAAATGTAGTTTTTGTAGCAAATTTCATCACGTGAGCGGTTGGATAACAAGCGTTTAACAATTATGATCACACAAAAGGCAATTTTAGCCGAATATCCACCTTCATCCAGCAGCTGTATCCTTATTATGCCGTTAAAGATAAATTGACTGCTAAACACTTTGCGTCACCAGCAATTTCAGCCCCTGAGAAGTCAAACGAGGGGAGTTCAAGGTGATTATTATTTAAAGCAATTGTCCCATTATAAATAATATACCACCATTAACCAGCAATCAATTTTGCACCCTGAGTGGAAACGACTGCGATGAAAAATTGATGATTTTTTTTTTTTTTCCTTTTTTTTTTCCTCCCCCCCTGCACCACCGACCTGCTTCTGTGTCTGTGGAGTCTCCCTTGTCTGTGGGCTTGTTTGGTTCGTCGTCGTCGTTTTTCTCCAAATCAATATTCTCGTCCTCTTCCTCGTCCTCGCTCCGGTTCCGAGGGGTCCAGGTCATTTTGTTCTCCTTCTTTAGCCTCCTCCTGGCGTTGGCGAACCAGGTGGACACCTGGGTGAGCGTCATTTTGGTGATGATGGCCAGCATGATCTTCTCGCCCTTCGTGGGGTAGGGATTTTTGCGGTGCTCGTTGAGCCAGGCCTTCAGGGTGGCGGTGGCGTCCCGGGTTGCGTTTTTACGGTATGCTGGGTCACCATAAGGGTAGGTGCCCAAGGGTGCTGCGTAAGGGTGGTATCCTATGGAGCCGGCCATGCCCGTGGTGTGGTCGTAGGGAGAGCTCTGAAATAGGGAATAAATAAAGGAATGAAAAAGTGTGCAAAAGTTCTGTTTTTGTCTGAAGTGTGGTTAAAAACAGCGATAAAGGGACTTTGGGCTCACGATCATGAACACACACATACGCGCGCGCGCACACAAACGCACGCGCACAGTGACACACGCTCACACACACACACACACACGAACGCACTGGCTTTAATCCATTAGTTCAAGTTTGAAGTTAATGTTTTTGGAGTTGTTTTGAACTTGGTTGGATGTGTGAAATGCGTTTTCTGTTTTTATGTAATTTCTTATTGTGTGTATGTTGTCAGCACGCAGCGACTCCTGTCCTCCTGGTAAAACGGAGCATTTTCCACTTCTGATAAGGTATTGACATTATGCATGATGGGCCTAACATTGTTTTTCTTTGCGCATTCTACCGAGATCAGTCTTTGTGGTAAGCAGGCCTATAAAGCCAGTATGGAATGATTCTGTTGACATCAGATCATTCACACATAAAGCAAGAAAAGCAAAACCAAACTGTCCTTTCTCATTTTTACCCAAGTTTAACTTTTACAGCTGGCCCAACTAATAGGATTATAAGAAACAAATAGAGTGACCTAAACTGCCATCACACGGCGCGCTGCGTTCGGGCAGAAGCGTAAAAGCTTCAGAGAGACATTGCCCACGCTTTTCCTTCTATATTTATATATCTGTTAAATATATACGGTTTAATTAAGGAGCATACTAGCACACGGCCTAATTAAATCTGTTGTGTTTACTGTACAGCGTGTTTTCTGGACATGACATTCTGTAATTTTATATCCATGCACTCTTCGGTGACGCACATTTCTCGTTAATGGCTTGGCTCCGGACGCACAGCAGACATCGAAGTCATCTATAACGAGTTAATTCCCTTTTGCTTTTGCTTCCTATTAGATTGAATAATCACCTTTAGTTTACTCACCACGTATGAGGTGAATGTGGCAGCTGCCGCCGCGTCTGCACTGTATGGTAAGTGGGAGTTGTAGCCTGGCGAGGCGCTGGTGAACGCAGTAGATCCGGCATAGGGCGCAAACGCAGATCCCGAAGAGGATCTCCCAAGTTCCTCGGTTCTGGGTCCCGATATAACGCTGGTGCTGTACGCGGGGCATGAATACAGGGCTAAAGAAGCGGACGGCTGGTACAAGTAGCCCTGAGGATACGCCATGCTGGAGCCCGGAGAGTGTAAGCCACTTAACTTGCGCACTTTCCCCCTTTATTTTCTCATGCGCTGCTGTTGGAGCGCATAGAGCTGTGTGTCTGCAGACCCGCTGTCTGTCCCCCCTTCTAAATGACAATGGTGACGGCAAAAAGTAAACTGCTTAAATAAAAAGAGGCTTGGATGTTGGGGTGGGTTTTTTTTTTTTTTGGTCGCTGCCAGCCAGCCAGCCACTGTCCGTCGGAGGTTTTGTCTCGTTTTGTTTTGCTGCTGCTCCCTTATCTGAGTTGCACCGTCGCTCTCATGCCCGTGCAGAAGTTTTTTTTTTGCCCGTCGGACGGGGGCTTTGCTTGGGAAAATGTCCTGCCAAGATGCTAAGTTGGAAATTGAGGATCCTGACGCCTACTACGCTGCACACTACGCTCCTCCTCTCGGGGTGTAGTCACCGAAGGAAAAGGCAAGCTTATGCTGGGTAACCACAGCCCTGCCCAAATCTATGCTCTCTCTCCCCCTCTCTCTCTCCTCTCTCTCTCTCTCTCTCCCTCTCTCTCTCTCTGTGTGTTTCTTCCTCACCCCCTCCCTCCTCTCGCGTTAACTAACAATCCTTCTCATTCTCTATTTCTCTATTTTTCTCCTCTTTAACAAGGCTCGTTGCAGTAAGTCTCAAGTGCGCCTGGCAGCCCCCCTTTCGGATGGCGACATCATGCGAGTCTGTCAACTCCCAACTTTCTTCTTTTTCTTCCAAATACGAAGCCGTCACTTTCACACTTGATCAATAACAAATCGGCTGTTGTGTGCCAGGATATGGGCTTGCAAGATACCGGCAGGAATTTAAAAAAAAAAAAAGAAAAAAAAGGCGCTCCGCAGCAGTGCTCTCTTTTTGTTATTCTTTCTTTGTGCGTAAAAAGAAAAAAAAGTCGTCATTTTAAATATGTGCGTTAAATCAACAGACTGATGCTCCGTGATCTCCGTGCGCTTTGTGTTAAAATCCGCAATGGGGGTTTCAAATGGATTACTACTATTGTGCACGTCGACTTTCTAACGCCAGACGAATGTTGCATTGGTAAGATATCTGACAACTGAGAAGTAAAAAAAAAAAAAAGAAAAAAAAGTAAGATGGCGCAAAGTGTGCTCGAGCGAACGACTGTGTCAGAATACTATTTTGTAGGTAAACTTTTTTTCTGAACAACATTTTTTTTGGTGTTTTAATTGTAGAAGTGTGTGCGTTTCTTTTCTTGCGCCGTCACTTGACTTTGAACGATTTACTGTGGCGACGGCTAAATAGTTTGTGCAGTAGATCCTGGAATAAACCGGTCAGATACACACTCCAAGAAAGTCATAAACCCTGAAGCCGGGGCAGATTAGTGCCAACTACACCAAATCCGCCTGGACCAGTGGATGTAATCTCATTTGATCACTGCAGATACATTTCTTTGCTGAAATACTGGACAGCATTTAATGTGCCACTGATACCGGCGAGTCGTGTATTATTATTTTTTATATATCTTTATTTATTACTGTCCAAATGTGTCTGTTATTTATGGCTTCATAGCAAAATGTGTTATTATTATTACTATTATTATTATTAATAATATTATTATTAGTAATAATTTATCGTGCAAACTGGGAAAAAAATAGACATGGCTTAAAAAAATAAAAATAAAAAATTGCCGGCTGTTCTAAATATTATTCCGTGTGTTTCAGACATCTAAAAGCCGTTTTCATTCTGGTGATTGACTTTCCAGTTCAAGTCTCAGATAAGCCGAAAGGGATCGCTGTAGGCGCTGCTAAAGAGTGTGTGTGCACACACTGTCACGTGTTTCTTACGCTCTGAAAACCTCTAGAGAGCAAAGAATGATGACGCTGGTACAGTGGGAGCAGAGTCTGACTTAAGAAAAGAGAGGGAGAGAGAGAGAGAGAGAAAGAGAGGAGGAGAGAGGGAGAGAGAGAGGGGGGAAAAAAGAGAAAAGAAGGACGGATACACAAAGCGACCCTACAGTACAGCCTAATCAGATGACAGTGATACGATGAGACCCAGTTTCACAGCCTCCTGTAGTGTTTAGACAATCAACTAATTACTTGAACTTCTCTCATAATAGCGGGAGCAGGAAGAGCCAGCTGAATCCGCTGGTGCTCATCATCTGTTACCAGTTTTCTTTTTTTAAATTTTATTTTAAAGAAAAGCAGCATTATATTAAACGCAAGTATTTTTCTGTTGCAGTGAACTTATTGTCTGTCATGAGACATATTTTTCCCCCCACATTTTGGAATATTCTGTAAACTGAAAATCATTATTAATAATTGTATTTGTTTATTGCGTAAAATGTGCGAAAAAGGCGTTCAGAGGGCCTGGGATGAAGGGTCTGTGCCATGTGTCCTCCTTAACGCGCTTTTGGTTCAGTGTTGCTCTCTGAAGTAGGAGGAGGACCCATAATTTGAGATCACGGAGCCTATAATAGGAGTAGGGTTATGGCAACTGCTACCGCCTCTCGGCACTGCGCTGATAAAGGAGGAGGTGGAGGTGAGTACAGTTTTGCTCATTTGCGCTTTTTATGTAGAAACGTGTGTGTTTTTTATTTTAGATGCGTAAAAGTGGGCTGTCCTCGTACTATTATTCTGATCCGATTCCAAATCTATACGTTTATTATTTTGACATCTACTAACTTTGTCTCTTCCTAATCGCTATCGCTTCTTTTTTTCTCTCCCCTCCTCTCCTTTTACGCCCCCCTGAGAGAACGACTTCGGTTTTTGACGCATGAAAAACGGCTTTACGTGGCACAGAAGAAGTGAATGAAAGATGATGCATGCCACTTAAAATGCCTGAGGGAGCAAGTGTAATCTAAATTGGATATAGAGGCTATTATTACACAACATTATGCGTTGTGGTGGACTAATTGCGTGGCTGGATGAGTTAAACAGTCAGTTAATGTCGAGTGGCGGACAGGTTTCTGGAGCGCACAAGGTCAGCTGCGCTGCTCCCCAGCCTTTAGTGGTGTACAGAAAAATGCTTCAAGTATTCATGGGATTTTTAACCATTCTAAATCTGTGTCCTAAACCGATTAGTTGACACCAATTTTTCTTTGATGTATTAGCTGAGGGCTTTTGCCACTTGGAAGCCAATTGAAATTCAAAACAGTTTTCGCTCCAAATGCTTTGGGGAGATCTGCTGCAAATAATGGATGTAATTTATTTTTGACCTTGCTTTTTTTTTCCTCGAACGGGTGGGTTATTAAATGATTAAACATATGTGCACTATGCTACTTGACTAAACAACTGCGTACAGCTATGATTAGCTCCTATGATTATCATTAAAGTAAGCAAGTCATTTCCCTCCTTTTATTTATGTCTTTTAAATTGTGATTGCTTTAACATTATTTTTTTAGTTTTCTTACTACCATTGTTGCTGTTAAAAAGTTGTTGTTGATGCTTTTTTCCCCCCTTCTCTGAATTGTATTAAAAATAATTATTGACTGTCTTTTGTTTTGCATCGTTCAGATCCATGCTGAGGATGTCTTCTCATGTCACCAAGCAGTCAGTGAAATGTACCCCCACACCCCAAACTCACAACACACACACACACACACCTGCAAATACAGCGTCATTAAATTCACTTTTTGAAGTGATAATCAATAAAAAACACAAGCTCTGCATCTGTAATTGAAATATTCTGTTAGTTTCCAATCATTAAATTTGCTTTCCTCTGCAGCCACCATTGCAGTGGTTATTTACATATAAAGCTTTGATATTTGACTTGATCAACATCCCCGCTATTGCTCACATGAACTGATACACAATTCAGATTTGACGGCTTGATTTGACTTTTAAAGAAAAAATCTCTGCAATTTACATGAAGCACAATGAGCCGATGTGGCTTTCAGCGGAGGGAATCTATATTCTGATCTCTTTTCTGTTCTTGTGATCTCTTCTTCTTTTATTGACCTGAATGAAGATGTATGGAGTGAGAGTGTGTGTGTGTGTTACCTCCTGATGGGGTCTGTGTGTCCCCCCCCTCACCCTCCTTCCCTCTCTTCTCCCTGCTACCCATGATCCCCGCAAGGCTGAATGGCAGGCCTCTGGATTGGCTAAATGATGAAATGATGACCCTATTATGAGAAGCGGTTCCAAAATGAGAGGTATCAGACAAAGATTGCACCCTTCTCTCACTGCCACGCCGTCCTCCTGCACCACGCTGCCAGCTGCGCAGATGATGATTGATTCGTTCGGGATAGATCACAGGAAGCACCCATTGATTTTTCAGTGTTTTATCAAAAATATTTATTTACAGTTGTATCCATAGGGCGTATCCACACTCACCTTATTCCCCCTTTTCCACAATGGAGGGGAGGGGTGGTATAAAAAGGGATAATCCTCCCTACTCCATGACAAGACAGATGACCTGAAGTATTATTTCAGAAATGAGTCAATAGGCTCAGTGACTAAATGAATATTGATTGGATATAATGAAGCCTGAGTGTGAATATGAGCTCTTTCAGGGGCCCTGTTGCAGACTCCACCGTCAGCATCTATACAGTGATGCCAGACCTCTCTGACTTGAGTGTTTTACAGACCTGAAAGTACAGCTGGGGCAAAATAAACCTCATGTTCGTGGAGTATCACAGATGGTGAATCCACATACTCAACTTTCCCTCAGTATTCCTCTCACAGGTGTGCACCTGCATATTTTTTGATCTGAGAGCTTCCGTGCCTGACTTGTTGTCTAACCGGCTATAAGTAGCGCGTTTGTTTTGAAGGTGCTATAGGTGCCATGTGGTAATAATCGAAATTGTATACTACTTAAAAGCTCTGGAGGCATGTAGGAGGTACTCCTGCAATGCCTTCACAAAGGTAAAGTGATACAACATACAAATCAAATGACTAGCAGAATGCTAAAACCACAGTGTGGGAGCTGTGCCCTAGATATTTGCACTGACTTAATCCAATTGAAATAGTATGAGTGAGTTGCAGGGGGCTCCCAGGTCTGTTGCTTGCTTATGTATGTGATGCATAATAGAAGTTGACGAGGTTGGTGATAGATCACAGCCCAGGTAATGTAAACACATTAATCCCTCAGGGTTCATGTGCATGTTCTTTCTCTCTCTCTCTCTCTCTCTCTTTTTTTTTTTTTTTTTGCTTCTATCAGTCCCTCTCTCTCTCTCTGTGAGTCCCCCTCCTCCCCACCGCCCCCCCTCCATGTTCATCATCTTCCCTAAATGCGTTAGTGGAGCACAAACCAGAAGCAGCCTTAATCTGTCAACATGCCCTTTAATTGGAGGGAGAAAACAACACGTGCTTCTGGTTGTGCCATTCCTAAGTGCACATGCCAAAGAAACACAGAGTTCACGGAAGAAGTGATCCCAGGAGAGCGGGGCATAATTAAAAGTATCTTTTAATAGGCTTGTAATGCTGAGCCTGACTCTTGTTGCCTTAAGTAGAGGGCGAACTCTGTGGCTGGAGACGGACATGCGAGGGGCTTCTGCTGAGGGAGCCTGTAAACG